TAAATCCAATAAAGGCAGTGTCCACTTGTGAAGGGTTGTTATTGACGTTTGGGTTTTGCAGAGGTACAATCCAAAACTTGGGGGTGTCAGTTAGGAGAGGAATAGAGACATGTTTTGCTGGTTCAGTGATAAGAATGTTGTTTGTATTGGTTTCCTTGTAAACTATGGAGAATAGTTGGTTACTTGGATTTGAGACTACAATGTCCAAGAGGGTGTGAGAAGTGTTTGGGGGTTTGCCCTTGGGAGTTGGGCTCCCAAGAGTGCCTGCTGGTTTTTTTCTCCTTAGAATTTTGCCTGTTGCTATAAAAAGAAATTTTTTTGGAAAAAAAGATTTGCGGGAAAAAGTTTTTATTTTTTCATTACATTTTCATATCAAAGTATATTATTTTTTTATATATTAATTCAAGCTTTAGCTATTGTAACGGTGTATCGGCGAGTCTGTCGCTCACTCTAGCGGAGATTCGCATAACCGTTACAAGGATAAAATAAACGAAAGGTGATTTTTAGGCGTATTATTTGACCGAGTCTTTATTAATTTCCTTTTACTCGCTATCACTACCCGTAGTACGACTCTCCTCTATCTCTTACATTTTCTATGTTATTTATACTTCTCTTTTGTTACATCTAGCTATGATGTCTTGGCTATGGAATAATAAGCGCTAATAATAAGAATGTCATGACTAAGCTGGATGACATAATTCTTTCTACAATCCTCCCCGACTCTCTCTTTATTACCTAATATTTCATAGTCGTCGGGGTACTAACGCGACGATTGATCACGTGATAAACGTCGCGTCCTAATTTTACCTGTTACACTATATAAAAAAATCACCAGTTATACTATACTCAGTATATAATATGATTTATTTTTTTGTCATATTTTTATTTTTTATTTTTTTTTATAGTAGAATGGCATTAGATACAGAACTTTATTGAATAATTATTAATTTTACATTATATCAAACATCATTTATTGTTATTACAATAGCTAAAATACTAGCCTATTTACTTATTACCCCAGTGATACTAGTGATACTTATAAAATGGGTTCATATTTTTTGGAGAGGATCTATCTAGGGAATGAAAATTCTATCACTAGTTTTAAATCATCTAACCTATCAGTTCAATTTTGTGTAAGGGCAGTAGATACTGCTAACTATTTTCTAAGGTTGCTTATCATATTATATCTTTTTGCTCATGTATCATATGGCAAAGGGGCTAACAATGTAATACATATACTTCCTAGTGAATACTCCAGTTTGATTTATTGGTTGGCACTAGTTGTCAAATCTAGGGGTTCTTGTTTTCACCATATTTTTATATTAAAATATTATATTTTTTTTATATATTAAGATTTCTTTTTCAATATAAATTGTATACCAATACTAATTGATATAACAGAATTCAATCTAAAGCTAATTCTTCATTACTTTTCTAGAACACAAAAATCTAACAAAAACTATATATATATATATTAAGTCTAACAAAAATTTATACCTATGTATAAAGATAGGTCCCTAAATTAAAGGTAAGGATATAATTTAAATGTTCCTCACTATTAAAAAAGTTTTTTTTTTAAATATAAGATAAAAAAAAAACTATCTACAAAGGTTTTTTGCAATTTAGATTACTTAATTCAAATATTTTTTGAATTATGTCTCTATTAAAATAATGAATAAATAATTGTCCCTTCAAAAGAAATATAATTGATCTGCAAAATTTTATATACTAAATAATTTAGGAACCCATCTTTACCTATATATATTAAAATTTATCAATATATATATACTAAGTCTAATAAAAAATGATATATTTACTAAGTCTAACAAAATTTATCAATATACTATATATATCAAGTCTAACAAAATTCAGGCCAGAGTTTTTACTTATCCAAATTTTAATTTTGAAGCTCTTGTATATAATTTGTTATAGTATCAGACTAGGTTGACAACTATTATAATATTCTTTCTTTTTCAATTTTATCAAATATAAATATTTCTTATAAAAAGTAATATTAAGATTTTTAAGCTTATCTCTATAAGCATCTATTATTTTCTTATAAGTTTTTTCTATATTTTTACAAGTATATTAATTATTTCCTTATAAGATTTTTTTTATATATTTAATCCAAGCCTACTATAGTATTGAATAATATAATAATCTCTAATATGTAATAGACAATAACTAGAAGTTGAACCAGTAGATTTATTATAATCAGTATAGGATACTCTTATTTTAGCTTTCTAATGATAATTATATTCTTCAGATCTCATATAGGTTCTTTCATAAACTTTATTAGAATTGTAATAAAATAAACAAATATATTTATTAATTATTTTTATTATACCAAAATATTTATTTAAAGAAAAAATTTTATAAAGTATTATATACAAAACTTTAGATAATCAAAATATAACACAAATTCAAATATCAATTTAAAATATTGATTAAGTATTAACAAAGATCAAATTCATATGGCAAGATATTAAAAAAGCTATAATAGATATAGTATAAGCAGGTACCTATTATAAAAAACAAAAGATAGTAAATTTATGCAAAATTATAAAAAGTGATATATTGAATTGTACCAAGCTAAAGATCCAGATACATATATTTTAATCAATGCAAAGAGAATATATCTTAATGAAGACAAATATTTCGAAATAAAAAGACAATATAAGAAATAGTATAGAAGTAAATTTTAAATTCTTCAAGCTATAGTAAAACTTAATGATTTATATTGTTATTTAGCTAAAGATCACTTTATTATTAATAAAGAAATCAAAGAAGTAGATAATTTCCTTAACTCTTAAGTATTTACTAAGATAGAAGTATACTATCTTTAGGTATTTTAATAATTATTCTTAAACAAATAATCTCTTGGGTTCATTATTATTTTTATCAATAAGTCAGTATAAAACCAATTGATTTTTTTGTATCAATAATTCTTTAATGGAATAAATTTGAGAAGACCAATTACAATCAATAGCTCTTCTTTTACTATCTACTAATTTACAAGGCTTAAGCAAATATCTAACAGTAGTATTATAGGATAATCTATTTTTGTCAAACCCTATAGATAAAGATGGGTCCCTAAAGTATTTAGCATATAAAATTTACGTCCCTTTACGTCCACATCCCCTAGAGGACATAATTCCTAGCTTTTTATTTCAATAGGGACATAATTCCAAAAATGATTTGTATAGATGCTTAAAACTATAAAGAACCTTTGTAGGTGGTTTTTTTTTATTTCTTAATATAGAAATGAAAATTTTAATAATAAGGGACATTTGAATTATATCCTCACAAATAATTTAGGGACCCATCTTTACCTATAGAATCATTTCAAAATTTGGAGAATTAATATATACATGTTTCTTTTTTCTAGCTTTATTAGATAATATTCCAATTAATTGAGTTATAGTATTATTTATTATCCTAAGAACAATAGATCAATTTTTTATTCAAACTTTCAATCTTTAAGATAAAGGTAATAACAATTCATATGCATCTTAAATTCAAAATACTTTTTTAGTAAAAATTCCATTAAAATTTTCAACAATATCCATAGTTGACTTAAAATTAACTTTTTGATTTTTTATATTAAGTTTTCTTAAAAGTTTTTCAAAATTATCTTTAAATTCAGAACTTTATCAATTATTACTAATTTTATTATATTCCATATAATAAAACATTTTAAATTATTAAAAAGTATTCTTTTGAAAGCTTTAACAACTATAGCTGAAGTTAAGATACCTTCTAAAAAAAACTTATCTTTATCTATATTTAAGATATCAAGATAAGTTCCAATTGGTTCTGCCTATTTATAATGAGAAACAATATCAACACATGTAAGACAAAACATATAAGTTATATTTTCTACTTTATTATATGACATATAAAAAATATTAGTTTATAAAACTTCAAATGAAACAGTAATATTGTTGAAACTTATATAAGAAATAAATTTTGAACATGATATATGAATTTGATATAAGGCTTGTTTTTTAAGCCAATTCTGAACTTCAGCTAATGTAAAATTAAAACCAGCATTATATAAAACTTTATAAAGTTTTTACTAGTTCTTTGATAATCAGAAAGATAGTAATAGATTTTTTATAAATCTATAGATATATCAAATTTTCAAGATTTTAAATGATCTATAATCATTTTAATTCAGTTATATCATAAAATGCCATGTTTAATATTAATAAAATAAAATGTTCCAAAAATATAGATTCAAAATTTATATAATTTAGAAAAGAAAAATATAGATATGACAAATCTTAATCTTTTTATACAAATTGTTTAAGGCTTAAATCATATTGAAAATTACATCCGAGGTGTTAGTATTTTATTAAATAATCCTATAAATATTATAAATGGCATTAAAGATTTCTTAAATATTGTTTGTCTTAATTATCAAAATGCATATTAGAATATAAATGATATTATAATTCAACAAGATATTAATTATTTTAGATAGCAAAATATCAATCTTTAGAATCAAATCAATTAACTTATTCAGAAGCAGAATACCTTGTAAAACTATATTAATCAACTTATATCAGAGTGAAATATCTTGCAAAACTATGTCAACCAACTTATATCAGAATGAGATATCTTATAGAATCATATTTATCAATTTACTTGAGATCTTAATAATAGTTAACAAAAATATAATTTGCGAGAGCATTTGTAATTTAATACAAGTCTAATATGGGATAAACAATCAAAACTCAAACATATTCTTGAAATTATTTATAAGGTATTTATTTATTATTTAAAACAAGAGCTACAACAATGTGAATTAATAAAGAATTATTAGAATATAATTGAGATTGACTTTTTGATAGATATTACAATAAATTTAAGGATTGAAAGGCAAGTCATATCAAGTGAAAAAATAGAAAGTGCAATTTATAACAATTAATTTTAAATTTGAATTAACAAATTTTTACATTACAAATAATAATCCAAATTAAAACAATATAGCAACTATGGTAAGATATTTACTACCTATATTTAATGATACACCTGAAGAAAATTCTGAAGATTTTATTAGAGATTTAAAAAGATATACAATAGCTAGTCAAATTAATATAGTACCTGGAGCAGGACAGGCTGGTGGAAGAGCAAAATTGGATAGTTTATATAAATTATACTTAACTGGTAATGCATTAATCTAATATACAAATAAATATAAAGATCGAAATTACTAACTTGATAATATTCTTGACAATACAGGAGTAGCAACTATAATAGTATTTTAAGTATTAAATAATGGAGGATTAATTGATATTAATGCTAATCAATTTTGTGAAAAAGCTTTAGTAGTTCGAAATAATGCTGGTGGAGATAATACAATTATAGAAGCTAATATAATTCCTGCTGAAGTTTGGGATAAAAATTGATTAATTGTTGACAGTTATTTTGCTCCAGCTGGAACAGTAGTTGTAGCTTCAAATGCTAATAGAAAAGAAAATACATACTAGTGTTGTACTTCCATATATAACAATTGGACAAAAATTATATAAACTTTGATATAATTATATAACAACTAATGCATTAAAACAATCTGCTTTTGGTACAATTGTACAAGGAACTATATTGGTTCAACAATTTGCATCAAAGTTATGAAATATTGATAAACTTGCTAGAATGACTCCTGCACAAATTCATGAGCAATGGTTAAGAGGATTAGTACCAATGAATCAATATACTTTTCATTCTAGTGATATGTTTTTTCAAACAATAGATAAGCAACTAAAAAATTTGACAGAGCTTGAAGCATATGCACTGTTGATGAAAATTTTTTAAATTTTTTAAATTTTGACAATTAATTTACATATTTATCATAATTTATTATTATTTTTTAGTTTTACATATATTTTATATTAGCAAAGTAATATTTCTCTCAAGAATTCTCAAAACGTCTATAGTATTTCAAACGGCGCAGCCAATTTGGAGCGTCGTAGCTCAAAACTCAACTTGTAAAGCTTCTTTATGGTTCTAAGTAACTATTTGCGGAAAGACTAGAGAAACATATTTTGTTAAGAACTCAAAAACGATTAACATAGTGTAATTTTGAGTAATTTCGATTCTTATCTTACGGATGAGAATTTTCTTTGCAGATCGCCCAAGTGTAACAAAAATAATTCTTTAGCCATTCTTTGTGTAAAATAGATGAATCACACATAAATATTTACAATAGAGCGATTCACAATTGACCAAAACATTATAAAAAGGCTGTATTTTCTTTCAGCCTTGAAGGGAGAACAACTTGGACCATAGTTTAGAAACATCGAATTCTTATATTATTTTGTAATGTTCTTATAATTTTCTTTAATAAAGTTATTATTTTATTACACTTTTGTTCTTATATTTTTATTTCTTTTCTTTTGAAATTCATTTTTGTATATTGTTATCTTTTGATTCCAATATCAGGGCAGAGTTGTAAAATCTAACTGAAACAATAATATTCAATTGTTCATATTAATTTATTTAATAGTGTTTGAAACAAAACATATAGTGCATGTCATAATAAATTATGACATAGATCCTATATAGTAATCTTTTGTATAATAACAGCCAATAAAAATTCGCCTTATGTATTCTTTATTTATAGATGTGGCAAAAAAAAAAAAACCTTAAAAAAAACCTATTTACTATTATATTTAGTATAAACATTAATTATAAAATGGTGAAACTACAACTTTCTAATCGACGATTGAATGTAAAAGATGCTTGGAGACATGGCATTCATAATGTGCCATCTTTGGCCAAACTAACTGATGTTCCTTTTTCTACTACATATAAGTATGTCGCAAAATTAAAAAAAAACAAACCTTAAATCCCCTTTCCCATCCTGGACGCCCAAGAATTTTAACTCCCGAAAAATATCATGTACTCAAAAGAATAGTCCAAAACAATCAATATCTCACCTATAAAGAAATCGCCACTACACTTAACTCCAAGCCAAAAATATCATCCAGAACTATAAACCATGAGCTTAATAAGCTCAGATATTGCTCATGTTATCCAAAAAAGGTGCCTATGCTCACTTCGAAGCAGTACAAATACTGTATAAAATGGGCTCTTACCTATGCCAAGAAAAATTGAAAAACAGTCATTTTTTCAGATGAAACGACATTTCAAATGTTCCGAAATACCATGACAGTATTTTATAAGGTTGGTAAAGAAATTCCACTGAAACATCCAGCCAAAATTCATATGTGGGGTGCATTTTCAGCACGAGGAACCATCGGCTTTCACATGTTCACACAGAATATGGATGGCCAGCTTTATCGCGAAATTTTGACTAATCATCTCTTCAAAAATGCTATGAGAATAATGCCAAAATGATGAGTCTTCCAACAGGATAATGACCCAAAGCACACGGTCAAGAAAATGGATGTGTTTCTTTGCCACTAATTCCTGAAAGTTCTTGACTGGTCTTCATATAGCTCAGATCTTAATCCTATTGAAAATCTGTGGGCTATTATAAAGAGAAGAGTAGAAAAAAAGATCAATAATATTGGGAAAAAAAAAAAGATATCAATTGAGTGTTGGTACAAAATAATCAAAAAAGAGTAGGAACTTATTTCTGTAGATATGTGTTTTAATTTGATAAATGGCATGACCATGAGATGAGGTAATTGAAAAAAGGGAAAAAAATTGATCATTGATATATATAAGTTTTTTTTTATTAAATGATGTATTTACTTTCCTTTGAGTTATAAGTTAAATAAATAAATATTTATAAATATTTAAACTTAACTATAATTCTCATTATTTATGACTAGCACTATAGCTGGAGGCTTTCATATATGGCCAAAAGCTTAAATTGATATACAAAAAAATAATATACTATGATATAAAAATATGAAAAAAAAAATAAACCAAGCTACATATTGGATGTGATATAGCTAATAGCTTTTCTATATGGCCAAAAGCTTGAATTAATATACAAAAAAATAATATACTTAAAAGTAGATGTTTTTGAAATATGAAAATATCAAATTGACTAGTGCAGTCCCAGAACACATATTTTTTTTATATTATTTATTATATTATACCTTTTTGCTTATATATTATATAATAGAAGGAATGAAAATATGACATATGTATTCCTTAGTGAATGTTCTGATTTTTGACCACTGGTTGGCTTTAAGCTATCAAATCTAGAGACTCTTATAGCCAAGTGGGGTACAACTCCTTAAGGACCATATAGGCCAAGTCTAAGCCAATTTCCCTAATTTCTTAATCTCCTAGTAGATATTTCAGTTTTAAAATCGATTGGTTTAAGTTATCAAATTTAGAAATAAAAATGCCAAGTAGAATACAACTTCTATATATAAACCATCAATACCAAGTAGGGCACAACTTCTATATATATAAACCATCAATGCCAAGTAGGACATAACTCCTACATATATAAACTACTCAAAAAGAATCATGTTACACAAAACATTAGTATCAGTTCAATATTTTCTTTCAAAGCTTTTTTATTTGGCAATCAATAGGAAAGAAATATGTTAATTTGGAATTAGTTAAGATAAAATACAGTCCAATCTGCATAGTTATCACGAAAAGTATTGTCTGATCTATATATATAATAACACATAAATTTAAACATGATATTACATCTCTTTTTCATTACTTTTAAGTGTTTATCTTTTTTGATTTCATTTTTGCAACTTTAGTCAAATATCATACACATATTTTTTTTTCGTGAGACATGGCCCCTACCTACACTGAATTGACCAAACTTAATAAAGGAAAAATACTCAGTTATATGGAAACCATGAATGTGGCACAATAGCAAAAAAAAAGAATGTGACCTCACGACAATATGATGGTTTATTGCTAAATACAAGAAAAATAAATCAATAAAAAATTTATTACAATCTGGTGGACCACAAGCACTCAAAAATAATGAAAAAAAAAACTCATCGAAGAAGTTATTAAAACATGACGCAAGTTTTTATATGAAATTGTAAATAATTTAAAGCTTAATTGTAAATTAACAACTGTAGCAAAAACACTTTATGAAGCTGGAATTTGATCCTGTATAGCAGCAAAGAAACCTTTTATCAGTAAAAATAATGCCATTGCACAAGTAAATTGATATGAAAAAAACAAGAACAAATTTATTTATAATTGGTCACGCATTATTTTTTCAGATGAAACATGCATTGAAATTGGAAAAATATCATGGCAAATATGAGTTTGGCGAAATACAGGAGAAAGATTCAATGCAGAATGCTTGGCACCCACTTTTAAAAATGATCAATGTTCTGTAATGGTGTGGAAATACTTTATAGGAGAAATGAAAGGACCATTAGTATTCTGCGATAAGTATAAAGAAAAAAAAGAAAAAATAATTGCAAAAACTTACCTGAAAATTTTAGAAACATATCTTTTACCATTTATATGTATGGCACATGATTTAGTATCGTCTTACTTAATCTTTCAGCAGGACAATGCTCCGATTCACACTGCAAAAATCATTACAAAATGGTTTGAAGAGAAAAACATTGAAATCATCAAGTGGCCTGTGAATTCTTCCGACCTTAATTCAATTAAAAATATCTGGAAACTGTTTAAGAACAATATCCAGAATCAAAAAAATTTTCCTAAAACTGTGGATAAGCTTAAAACTGCTTTGAAAGAAGAGTGGTCAAAATTTGATATCTCGATTTTTCAGAAGATTGTAGGCTCAATGCCATGAAGAGTTGATATGGTATTAAGTGCAAATGGAGGGTCAACTAAATATTAAATAAATAAATAAAAATTTTTTTTATATGTATATAAAAAACTAAAATAAAATATATAAATACCATAAGTTTAGTAATGATTGAAAATCAGGTGATACTTTCCGTGATGACTGTACATCCAAATGTATAGTTGATTTTATAACTCCTTTTATTAAACGATTACTATAATACTATTTAGATAATTATCACACCACTACACCTTAATGGGAAGATCACAATCTCAATGTTTATTGGATTAGTATATAAAATGGCTTCTTATAAGAAACAGTATATAATTGATTATGGTATCAAATATCATATTAATTTTATTTAATCACCTTTATATGAGATTGAACTAGTATTTTGTGATTTGATCTGCAGAGCATTAACTATTATGCTATAGACCCATAGGTTTAAATTTTTATTTTATTTTATTGAGTAGTTATTAAATTAATAAATTTATTTTTTTTTTTTTTATTTTTTTTTTTTATAATAGAACGGGCATTAGATGCCATTGTTTATTGATATATATACGATATCACAATTACATCAAACATCTTCTGCAATGCTAGACTATAGCTTAATGCTAACCTATTCTACTTTAATGCCCCAGCGATGCAAGCGTCACTCTTGAAGTAGGCTCATATTTTTGGGGG